TAAGCATGCGACGCAGATAAGCATGCGACGCACTTTTTTTACCCTTTAAGCTAGAACTTGCTTTAAATCCACCACAAACTATCTAATCAATTAAAACTACTTACTATACTCTTCCCCAAATGTCTCAATTACTACCCGACAGGTCCTTGCATTATGCCCGGCCTTGCCGCATACACCACAACGCCGACCAGCCGGTCGCTCTGACCGGGCCCGACCACCACTTCTAGATGATTCGGCCACTACCTGTGTATCAACATCCATCTGATCAATTACTTGTGATGCATCCTCTACAGTCATGGCCCCTCCTTTCTGTAATCTAGTCCTTTTTGCCCTCCGGCGCCGGCTTAGTATCTCATTTGCATCTCGAAGGTTTCGGACCTCAGCCCTTAACAAGGTAACCTCATGCATAACTGCCTTTGTTGCTTTAGTATTAGACTTTAAAGCTTCAATAATTGACTCTGGGGAGCTGCTTTTATGTCTTTTAATTCGTTTTTCAAGGTATTCAGACTGAGATTGGGCCTCAATTGCCGTCTTTGGCGTCTTTGAAACCCATGGGGTCGAAGGTTCAGCAGCCTCCCCGGGAGGCGTTGGAGTCCGTAACTGCACATCAAGCTTTGAGATAACATTTTCCGGGTCAAAAGGAGCAAGCCCGGCTCCTTTAAAACCTCCCTGGATATTACTTTTTGTAAAAGTAGCTTTAAAAGCGGCGTAAAAGGCGGGAAAGAACTCGGCCTTCGAAATGTGAGTTATAGAGCATCTGATCAGATACTCAATTTCTCGACCATATGCCTTTTTCAGCGGCCCAAAGCACCCAACGTCAAGAGGTTGGAGTAAGTGAGACGCATGAGCAGGCATACAAAGCGTGATAATCTTGTTCTCCTCGCAATATCTCTCAAAATCGGCAGAGTGATGGCTTTCGTGACCATCAAGGATCAGAAGACGATAGGGACCAGTTGATCTATTAGTTGTAGACCGATCAAAGTGCTTTAGCCAATGGAGACCTAGCTGGTTATTTGTCCATCCATTTTGGCTCGTTGCAATAACCCAATCGCCTGGGAGGTTGCATTCTCGGTACCAATTCGCAAGGTGATATTGGCCTGCACCAATGATAAACGGCGCGATCGATTGACCTTCCGCATTGATCGCCTGGATCACTGTAATCCATTCCCGGTTTCCAGGCTGTACTGATTTTGGCCTTCCTTGCCTTTCTGAACCTGTAACGACCATTCCAGCCATAATAGCGCCCATCATAAAGCCAGTCTCATCAAAGTTCCAGATATCATCTGATCGGATACCGTACTTCGCGATTGTGTTCTGTACGAGCCTAAACCAGCCACGAATAATAGATAGATCTTCGCATTTGGCTCTCTGATAGTCATATTTCCGAAATAAACGCGTCTTTAGCTCTGGTTGTCGCTTGACGAAGTTGTGAGCCCAGCGCTTGCCAACAGGTGACGCGTCGCGGTCAGCAAGAAGAGAATTGGCCATTTCTTCCACAAAACGCAGTCGCGAGGGAAACCCTCGCGAATCTAGGTCAAGAATGAATTGGACTATTATCTGCTCTTCTAGATCAGATAGTTTCCGCGATTTCGGGATAAAATCGCGTCGCGATTGAATGCCATTTCTACGGCGACGTAGCCTAGGCTCAGAGATCTCGTATATCTTTGCAGCGCGTCGGGTACTTAATTTTGGGTCATTTTGAAGGGCCTGAAGGGCAAGGAGGGTTCTGGCTTCATTTGAAGATTGTGACATTGTTAATGGTTGACAAATATCTAATCAGATAAAATCTATAATGTAAGAGGGAAAAGTGCGTCGCATGCTTATCTGCGTCGCATGCTTATCAACCACGATATCTCCTTAGTTACGCGAGGGCCTCCAATGGGTCACGAGCAGGGATCGTATCTAATCAAAAATGATCGCAACGAAAGGTACTTCTTTTGCTACCTAAATCCTATACTGTTAGAAGTCAAAGCAGTTCCCCAAGTAGCTAATAACTAAATCAACTTTAGTAGAGTTGATTTTACAGTCCCACTTTAAACCTAGTAGGGTTAATTAATGCCAGGATGGAGTTGATTTTGTATTATTCTATATATAGAAATTATTAAGCTAATCGAAACCGGGTTTAGCACAAAGCACAGTAGAACGCATCGTATAAATTACACTTTAAAAGCTACCGTCTTTAATAAGCTATTAAAAATCCAATTTAAGCTAAAAATAGTTATTTACGCGGAGCGGGCCGGTATGCCTAACAACCGCTTGATTCTGACATGGTTTGCGGGGTAAAGCGTGTCACCTCACTACTGAGGAAACATGCGAGAGCCAATGATAGCCCATTCGGTCCCCCACACTGCCATGCCGCAATTCTCCTCTCGCACCACTGACTCGCCGAGCGCTTTTAAATTACTCGCCTGCACTTGTTCGTCTGCCACAAATGCCACTGAGCGCCCGATGGCCCTGAGCTTCCATCGCTGCGTGGTCAGCTGCCCGCCCTCAAGCCCTGTGTAGTCGGTCTATGTTGAGGGGCTTTTATGGCTGCAGCCAGCCAGGCAAGCCGTTTTTGGGCTTTCGACAGGGTTTGCATCAAAACCGAAAACGGCCATGGACCAAGGTTGTTTGTTTTCTCTTTCCTCAGAAGGAATAACCACTGTTGTCCATCTAGCCGCCTAGCGCCCACTCCACGGCAGAGCCATGCCTTGAATTCTTTGGGAACGGGCTAAACGGCACTAGAGCAATGTGAGCAAGATGATCCAAATCAAGGCCATTTTTAGCTTCTATCTTTCCAGGAGAAACAGCAGGCATCTAGGCCGGGGTAAACTTGATCATGTCCTTGTATATAAAGCCATCATGCAGTATGTTCTCTTCCATTTTAAAATTAAGCCAATCAAGCCGCTTCCTACTTATTTGCGGCGACAGGGAATTAGTACCTAAAACCATGGAAGCGAGGGACTGCTTGTAGCGTTCGTAGACTTTTGGACACTAATTTTAGTTTGCTCATAACCTAATGACTTATCGGTCCTTCTCTAGCGTCTTTATAGACCGCCGTTCAGTTTCCCTCCCATTGTGCCGTTTCTCCCGTGCCTCCCGTTTCTGCCGATACTCCCGTTACTGCCGTTCCCTTCCGCCTCGCTCGTGCCCTCCAAATTTAGTACCGTCTTTCACATCTTCAAGTTAGACTATCTTCCTGATGGGCTCACGCCCTCAGTTACTGTGGACGTTAAAACTTTAAGTTGCATCCTCCATTGGTTTATGTTCAAAATCAAGGTAATCCGGCTAGTCAGAGTCCTGGACTGGCAGTAAAGCTGTTATTAAGAGCCATTTGAATACTGTCATCACTAACTCATAGTTTGTTCTAAAGTAGAATCAGTAGTACGAAATCTTGTAAAATGGCTCACGTTAGTCCGATTTGACTTTTGTTCGTTTTCTGATGTACTGTACATCCTACTTCAAGACATCGACGATCCTACTTAGCCCTTCCATTAGTGTCACCTTATTAACTGAAAACACAAGTCTAAACCAGCCACTATCCTCAGCTCCAAAGCTTGACCCAGGAGCTACGAAGACCTTTCGCTCGAGCAGTAGCTGCATCACTCGATCCTCAGCGTGTGCATGCTCCTGTTCAGGATGGTTCTGACAGTAAGCCTCTCCAAGATTAGCCCACAAGAAGAAGCCTGCATTTGTTCCCCTCGCATAACGGATACCATGCTCAGTTGCCCAGGATGTTATCAGCCTGTAATGCTCTGCGAGTTTTGTCCTGTTCTTGTCCAGATAGTCATCAACCCAAGCCTCGTCTTCGAGTACATTCGCAAAGGCGTGATCAGCGAGAGAAGAGCTTATACTGTATAAGGCACCTGGAACAAGTGCTTTATGCAATAAATGGTTGCTCTGGGAAACGACGCATCCAATCCGAATGCCGTTGGACCCAAAATCTTTCGAGACACCCCATACCACGTGCATCAGAGACGGGTCAATGATGCCTGTAGGATCTATAGATAGACAGGAGGTAAAAGGCGCTGCTTGTGCATCCTCGTCTGTCCATGTCGATAAGGCGTAGACTTCATCGCTAATCAGGTGAATTTGATGTTTCTGACAAAATTGCATGAGTCCGATCAAGGCATCTTTGGAATAACAGCGCCCCAGGGGGTTGTGCGGGTTGCAGAGAAGAATGCCAGCAATCTTCTTTCCTTGGGCTTTGGCTTCTTGAAACTTGGCATCGTACTTGTCGACGACGTTCACGCAGAAAGGATCAACGCCATGGCATGGCACCTGTACCACCTCTGTATCAACGCGAAGGCCAAAAGTTGGTATGAACGCGCGAAAGAGAGGTCTAGTGATGAGGAAGCCATCCCCTTGATCTCCAACTGCCCAGGCGATATGTTCGATAGCTGCGCTACAGCCGTTGGTAATGGTGATGTGGTCCCATTCGATGTTTTTATGAGGGTGTAGATATTTGATGAAAAAGCGTGCGAATGCAAGCTTTAACCGTTTTGATCCAGTTGTACCGTCGCCATAAGTCAAAGCTCGGGGTTGAGGGGAGATGTTATCAGTGATGTGTTTCAATAGCTCATCTTGCATGAGGACATTCTCTGCCATGCCCAAGCTCACGAAGCCTGAAGGGTTGGTCGTAGGATCCCAAAGGTTTGCTGTGACGTCCCACAAGAGCGATCCGCCTTTGTTGTCGGCTGTTGCTTGACCGCGATTGGAGAGCGTCATATTGACAAAGGAGGGCGTTAAGAAGCCGGTATCGCTTGAGGGGGATGTAGTTTAAAAGAGTGAGGCGTCTACAATATTTGACTGTTTCGGCCCTGAAGCAGATGGTGCCCGGAAATTATCGGAGTCACTTGGCCGAGGTTTGGGCTCGGTGCTACTTTTGTAGCCATGGTGAGTATGTGAACGCACCATACTGACTAAAAATGCGTGAAAGGTGGAGAGATCGGTTCTAGAATCAAGGCGCTTTTTCAATTAGTGGGTCTCCGCCCTCCAACAACAAGCGTGTGTAATAAATTTCGTCTCCCAACCACTCTGAGGATGAGAAGAGCAAGCTTGAGATTGCCTTTCTTATACAAAGATAGTTATAATGTTACGCAATTCTTCAATATCCGACTCAAACACGCTCCCCCTAGAAAACGACGCCCTATCTTCCGCGCCGGCAGATGGGGACGAGCGCCATGCCCTTGTTGATGTCAACCCTCGTGGGTTTTACATACGGCATCCTCCAAAGCCTCATATACTAAATGATTCCATCACGCCGGACGATCTCCTTTTTCATACTATTCACATGGGAGCGGCGGTTGTAGACCCTGTCAGATGGAAGCTTGTTGTCACTGGACTGGTGAAAAAGCCCTTCTCTCTTTCACTGGATCAGCTCAAACGCCTACCTCATAAATCGGTCACTTCTTTTCACGAGTGCTATGGCAGTCCACTCAAACCTCCAACGGAAGCAGTGTGGCGCATAGGGAACGTTGTCTGGACTGGCGTCCCTCTCTCATACATTTTATCACTTGCTTCGCCACTCCCTGAAGCTCATTATGTGTGGTCAGACGGGCTTGATAATGGAACTTTTGCTGGTGTCTCAGCAGATCGTTACCAAAAAGACCTACCAATGGATAAAGCCCAAAGCCCAGAAGTTCTGATAGCTTACAAGATGAACTGGGAGCCCCTAACGAAAGAGAGGGGAGGCCCGGTCAGGCTCGTTGTTCCTGGGTGGTTCGGCACAAATTCTACCAAATGGCTTTGCCGGCTAACGCTGGAGGACAGGAGGGCTGAAGGACCATATACCACAACCTTTTACAACGAGATCGATCCCGGGGACCCCAAAGGGATCAAGAAACGGCCAGTATGGAATATAGAAGTGAACTCAATTATTGTGCGCCCTGAACCGGACGCCGTATTGGTGGGCTCAACAGTGATGATAGAGGGTTGGGCGTGGTGTTTTGAACCGGTAAAAAGTGTTTGCATTTCTTTCGATGAAGGGGAAAGTTGGATTGCAACTGATGTTGAAACCAGGAAAGACTTTAGCTGGCAGAAATGGAAGATAGAGTGTGATCTACTGAGCGGCTCATACTTAGTCATGGCTCGGGCTGAGGCCACATTGGGTCACATGCAACCACTGTATGGGAGACGGAATCATGTACACAGAGTGAAATTTTCTATATCTGAGCATACAGAATAGGGAATATAGTACATTTATGCAATAAAATAGTTCTATGAAACTTAAGGATATTATTAAACATTACCATGCAGTACCCCTCACTCGGTCATACCCTTTTACCGGTCAGCAAAAAGAAATTTCCCCATACAAAATGTCCAATTTCATTTACACGGTGCTTGCCCAAAATTAAAGCTATTGGCATGGGATGATGTGTGTATTATTAAGAATTTCATGGCATTTAATATTACCACATTAATTTTTCGATCATGTATGCGGTATAGTCGCATGGCACTAATGCAAAAGTTCTACAGATACCTCCCTCACAAACCCACCTCGGCGAAGCTTTATCGAACCTTTATCTACACCAGCCTTCCATAATTGCCCTGAAAATGCCTCAATTATCTTAATACGGAGCATGAAGTTATAGAGGTTATACTAGACGTCACAGATAACAGCCCCTCGCAGCACCAGGTCGCCCAGAGTCGCGGCATCCCTCAGACGACTCTTTCAGAATTATTATGAGGTCCACCGTCTAAGTCTCAGGTCACCCAGCCTACTATGCTATATATCCAAGTCCTAGGAGGCTAGGTTAGCCACTTGAATACTTCGATGAGCGGCCTTGAGCGATGCTCCTTCTCGCAGCCAAGTTCGCGCCATCTCGCTGCCGGCTTTCAGACAAGAAGGCCGGGAAAGGGCTATCAGTGTACACTAGATAGGCAGGCTCATGAAATGTCATCCAGCCATCCAGACGAAGATAGGGAAACGCCAAGAGGCCTCGAGATTCAATTATTTTACACCAATGGCCGTCAATTGGTACTTTGATATCTGGGAGAGCGAGTATGGCTGGATCAAGTCGGGAACCACAGTTAATGTTGACGAGGGCGGTATCATGGGTGGATTTGATGAGTAATTGACGTTTTCGATGCTGCAGTTAATTCATTCATTTAAATCGAGGCTTGTATTCTCTAGTTATTGGAAGTAGTTACCGCAAGAAGTGGGCCTCCATCGGAGGCCCTTAGTCCCGCGCTTGGACTAACTTTATTGAAGCTGTCACCGCAGACGACTACCTTCTGAAACAAGGGATCATTGCAAAAGGTAAAAGAGCTTCAGCAGTAGTAGTTTATCAAGAAGTCTGAGAAGATAGCCGACTGGCAGTATGTCACTTCTGACAACGGCTGGATAGACACCCATATGGCAGTTGAGTGGCTCCAACAGATCTATCTACCCTCAACCCAGCCAGAAGATGAGTCTAGCGCCAGCCTTATTCTACTAGACGGCCACAGAAGTCATGTATGCGCAAGTATCTAGCTGGTCGGGATCATGAATGTCGCTGATCCAAAAACCAGGAGAAATGGATAGGCTACCTGCTTTTTGAACCACATATATCTTTGGTTCCTGCCGCCTCGTTGCTATCATAGTCTCCAAACGCTGGATAATGGCTCTCTCAAGGCCTCCAAGACTATTTGAAGTCCAGGAATCCAAAACAGCCTCGCTGAGTGCAAGGATAGCCAGTTTGGAGGTGGAAGTCGGCCATTTGAGAATAGGAAAGAAGAGAATGGCTATGCCTGATCCCAACAAGAAGTCCATGACACTAGCCGAGGCTCTAGCTGTTGATGGAACTATTCCCGAGCCAATTCAAGCAACTGAAGAGACAGGGACTGTGGAGGATGTGATCGAGATGGGAGGGCAGCAGGAAGATGTAAGCTCAAATTGGGAGGCGGAAGAGCTACCCGTCGTACGCACACGCACAGGCCGGGAGGTAAAAATACCGAGAAAATATTAAAATATATTGAAATTTCGTCTGAATTCTGAAAATAAGCTTATTTTTACTATTTTTGTTAGTCTTTTCCCATGAGGTTGAAAAAGTGCATTTTGTATGGGGAAAATATTTCTTTTGCTGACCGGTAGAGCGGTATGACCGAGTGAGGAGTACTGCATGGTAGAGAACACAATCACCAAGCATGGTATCTGATTAGATGAACTCTATAACTTTAACGAGACTGGCTTTCTTATGGGTATGATTGCTAGCGGAATGGTCGTTGCAGGAACAGACAGGCGTGGAAGGCCGAAATCAGTGCAGCCCGGAAACTGGAAATAGGTTACAGTTATCCAGGCGATCAATGCGGAAGGCTAGGCGATCGCGCCGCTTATTATAGGTGTCGGCTAATATCACCTTGCCAACTGGTACCGGGAAAGTAACCTCCCTGGCGATTAGGCTATTGTAATACCTCTAAATAGCAGAATGCGCGGATTACTGGCCTCGAGGAGCAGATGGCCCAGCTGCGGCGAGGAAAGAAAAGAACGGCGGTACCGAACCCGAACCGACGATTCATGGCTCTGGCGGAGGCTCTGGCTGCTGGAGAAGCTCTTCCCGACTCAAAAGAGGCGGAAATAGAGATGGTTGTAGATGAGGAGGTCGAGTCGGTGATTGAGGTGGGTGGCAGGTCAGAGGACGAAAGTGATGACTTTATGGTCGTAACAAAGCACTGCCAGCGCACACGTAGCGGTCGGGAGGTCAAAAAACCATGCAGAAAAATTGATCAATTTTATAGAGTTTCTCTCCAAAGATTCGCTTTTTAATTGACGGCCTGGTGTTTTGTGTACGCATCAAAATTTGGATTTTATGTAGGCGGAGCGAAATTTTGGTTATCCATTAGGTGGGGTTATCCATTAGGTGGTCCTGGATGGTAGTACAGTAGGATGGTCAAAGTCGATAAGCTTCTGTCGATAACACTGCTGCTCAAGCTCGTTAAGCTTCTTGGGTAGGTTTCTTATAGTATAGTTCATGGGATGCCATGGCCGACTCTGGCAGATTGCCGATCCTCAAGCAGCATACCTGGAAATGCTCCAGCAAGACCTGGCTGAGGCTATCACCAAGTACGATTCGGCCAAGCAGAGTCTGGATCAGATCTCAACTCGACTTCATGATGCACGAGCTGTTTGCTATTTGATCGATCTCGACGATGCCATTCGGCAAAAAGCCTCTGCTCAACGTCGCGTCCAAACTTTAGTAGAGCAGGCCGAAGTCCATCATCATCATCACCGCCTCCGCATTCAAGAAGATATTAGTAGATGCAGTGATCGAACTGCCAGATACATGAGAGACTCGTTTGCCCATTGCTTGACAGCCATTGAAGCCCTTAAGCATGATCAGCGTGAAGCTCAACGTGAGTTTACTGCCTGCGATGCAAGCGAGCGTGAGGCCCAGGAGAGCGTGGTCAATTTTGAAGCCCACATGAAAAGCCTCCTGGATCAAGAGATGGGACAGAGGATGGACAGGGAGCAGGCTGAGCTGGAGATCAATGCTTATCCAGCAGCAATTGTCTTGGCTGATGCTGGACCGGTTAACGGCTCTGGGCTATGACGGGCTGAATCAGTTGATTAGTCTTGGTGAGGATGTCGAGATGGACGATTAGATTGCTTGGGTGGGTGTAATGCTATACCGGAGTATGATTTGGGCCAAAGGCTAAACAGACATAGTGTTTTCGGTGAAACTACATCCTTAACTACCGTCAGAGTTTTTATACTTTAGCTAGGGGCGGAGTTATTGATTTTTGAACGGCTTTGCATTATTCTCTAAGTTATTCTAAAGCTTTTTGTCTATTCTATAAGTCCCGGTGATGATGTTGTTGTGGTGTTAAGAATGGGTCGGTCTGCAGGCCTTAGCAAGTAGTAGGAGTATCCGCCTGGTTGATGCCCCAGTCCACAGTCCGACCTGACCCCAATAAGTTCTGAGTTATACAATGCTAGAAATAAAAACATAGTTTACCTAGTCGTGATTTCACTACTCTACCAGTCTAAGCTAGGTGCTAAAGAGGAAAACATATCAATTGCCTCAGCCCTCCAAATGTCTTGTTGCAGTGAGACTCCATTCTCAGCGCTAAAAACCAGGTTTCTTGGGTTGTCCCGGGAGTATACTGGCCACCTTACTTTCAAATCGGACACTGCTTAACATTAGCCGGCTTTCTTTAAAAACAGGCGCTTTCTCCAAAGCACTTAATGGTAGGAATAATTAACTATGGCAGGGGAGACTTACCATAGTGAAAGTTAGGTGATCCTGTAACCACGAAGCTGATCCACATACGACTCATAATTTCAGCTAGCTTCAAATACTTCTGCCTCTTCTTAGGCTCAGAAGGGAAAGGGTCGGTATCCCAACCAACGGCTTTGGTATTAGCAAAGGTAAATGGAATTTCCTGAAAGTGAGCCACGCCGAGTGTTTCGAGGTCCAGGTTGGCAGGCGGAGTGTCAAAGAAATAACTATAGCTTGGCGTGCGGTAATCAGCCCACTTCTGGCTGGCGAATCGTCGACCAGCCGTAAAGAGAGCGTCTCCAAGCCAGAGGCTTGTCTTTCCATACTGGGCTCCTAGCTGTGGGCCTGGATTAGACAGAATTGATCCCAAGCTTGCAGGAGAGGGCCTATCGACTTCCATCTGATACAACGTGGACCAATTGGCCAAGGCTGCTTCTTCCACGGGTCGCCCAAGAAGTCCCTTGACGGACGCCAAAAACTCATCATCAGAGTTTACTGTTAAACCAAGTAGCTGCGTAAAAGACGTGCCTTCATTTCGGTTAGACCCAGTCAGGAGAGGAACTTTAACGAACGATCCCGACTCGAGAAGACGTGAGCCAGTTGACGTAAAAAGCTCACCATCGACGACCCAGGCCGTAGGAAGCATCTGACTGACTCTTCTCAGCGCCTCGCCGGGAACAGCACGCAGACATGATAGCTGATCTTTCGCCTCAGTACAGCCCGTTTCCTCTAGTACTTTGTTCGAGTAGGCCTCCGTCTCAGTTGCGTTGCGATATGAAGACGATGATAGAGGACCTCCGCTTTGCGCAATAGCGCCGCTGAAAAGCCCCTCGTTCCGACCTCCATAAGCGATGAGATGCTGACCGACAGAAGAAGCGCCTGCAGATTCCCCAGCAATAGTGACTCGCGAAGCATCGCCGCCGAAATATGCTATGTTTTCCTGTACCCATCGAAGCGCCTGGCGTTGGTCGTGGATGAAGACATTCGGTGGCCCAGCCTTTGCTGCAGCCGGCCCGTTCATCATGCCAAAAACGCCCAGGCGGTAATTAAAACTGACAAAGATGATAGGCGTGCCCATCTGAACTGACGTCTCGACTAAAAATGAGCCATTGTATCTGGGATCCCCTGCGCTACCCTCAACCCAGGCGCCGCCGTGAATCCAGGCAAAGACCGGAAGCTTGCGAGACTTGTTGATGCCAGACGGACGGATGATGTTAATATGGAGGCAATCCTCGCTCATGGGCGCAGACGTGTTCTGGCTGAATCCTACGAGTCCAGCAGAGTTGCCTAAACACAACGGTCCATATGACTTGGCTGATTTGATCCCCTTCCAAGGCTTTGGTGGCTGAGGCAAGCTAAATCGAAGGTTTCCGGTCGGGCTCGCTGCGAATGGTACGCCGAGGAATGCATCTTGATGGCGGACTGAGTCATATGAGCCTGCTAATGTTCCATTTCTGATATTGACAATGGGAGTAGAAATGTGTGTTGTTGGAGTAGCCCAAGAAAGTGGTGCAAGGAAAGGGAGAGCCCACAGTATGTGGAAAATGAGCTTCAGAGCACGCTGCATTTTAGCAGTATTTAGACTGGTTAAAGTATATAGAGATAGATGCCCAAGTGTGAGGAGTTGAGGACCTTGACTTTAAGGAATCGTGCTGCATTTATATAATTACGGCAAGCTAAACTACAAAATCGCAAAGCGGCAGATGACAACGGACTACGGAAAAGTGTGAAGTGCGCGCCCTTACAAATCAGCCTCGACATGTAAAAAGATCCGAACACAGATGCGACCGCTATTTAGATTAGCTTGATCCAAAAGTTTCACAAACGCAATATCAGGAAATTGCGGCATAAGCTACCTCCACCTTACCTCAGACATTAATCAGCATTAGTCGCCCCACTGCCAAATTTCCATCAATTACAGTATTTCCTATTTTAGCTTTAAAAGGAAATCTAGGCATGCATAAGAACATAGCACATGACAATAAGACCACGATACTCGCATCTTAGGACTGTAGTTAATTAAGACCATAGGTAGAATGAACTGGTCATAATACATATCCTTCAATACATTTTGAACAAGGTGTGTGTGTTTGTGTGTTTCTCTTTCTGGCCATCAACCAGTCTCCATCTCTTTGAAACAATGATTTCCTCAGTTAGTTCTCAACAATCAGATTTGTCATAACCAAATTACAAGGCTAATCTTAATCTTGCACTTCAGGCCCTTCAAGATAAACCAAAACTAGGTATCCCACGCGCCGCAGAGATCTATAAAGTCAATCGTAATAACTTACGTCGCCGCCAGCAAGGGGTTTAATACGGAAGCTATCTGACCTTGAAAAAGAGACTCTTCTTGAGTTTATTATCGACCTAGATTCGCGAGGATATCCCCCGCGACTGCGTGGTATTGAAGAAATGGCTACTCGACTGCTTAATAACCACGATGCATCTCTAGTTGACAAGCGATGGGCTATTAATTTCATTCAGCAGCAACCAGACCTTAAGACGTGTTTTCAGCGGAGGATATACAACAGATTTAAATACAAGAGAACCCTGCATATATCTCACTCGATACCACCCACGAGGCTTGTAACCCTGTCTTAGTGCTACTGCGTCTGATTAATCTGTCGTCCGAGATAGACCCCGGTTAAATTGCGGCTCAGTGAGTTTTCCTGGCTGACCGCGTCGGTCACTCCGGACGTTGAGCGCTACCACTCCAGAGCCAGGATGAATGGATCTCCATGCGCAACAGAGGGGTTCTGGTCTAATGAAAAAGAATACACTGCTGCGAGTTTCAGTCACCACCTCAGCCAAGTCCAGACTAGGTGGCATCTAGTTCATGGGCAACAGTGGTTCCGGGCGCAACTGAGGCCTTGCATGAATAACGGACAAACATGAAACTTATGCAACGCTACCCGAAGGACTGTATCGCCTTGGGTTCTCGGTAAGAAGCTCTGAGGGAGATATCACCACGGCCGTATTAAACCCCTCCTGGAGTCAGAGAAATTCATTCATACTCATTAGAGCTAATTTATCCATCCGTCATGGCCTTAAACGACCCGGTTGCGGACCCCGGATTTACCACGGGAGGACCTCACCCCGCTTGGCCAAGAACTGATTCACCTCGTCGTCCCTATCACCCCTCACAATCTCCGTTATCCCCTGGGCACTCGTCTCCGAAGACTCTGCCCCTCGGTCAATCTTGCTCTGCTTATCCTCCCCGGTCAAGTTGGTGACCACAAACCCAGGGCAAAACGACCAGACCTTCGCTGGGTGCTCCCATTCCTTGAACTTATAGGCCTGAATTCCGGTAACCATGTTCAGCGCCGCTTTGCTGACGCGGTACGTCTCTCCCGTAACCTGTGTATATGGGGACGAGTGATCGTTCCGCACCGTGATGGAGCCGAGGACCGAGGAGACGTTGATGATCCGAGGATCGCGGGACTTCCGCAGCAGATGCTCCAGTGCCTGGGTCAGGAGCATGGTGCTGAAGACGTTGGTGTCGAAGACGGTGTGGAAATTCTCTCGCGAGACCTCTTCCTTGCCTGAAATGCCGGCGTTATTGACGAGTACGTCGAGGACGCCAAAGTCAGACTCTAGTTTCTGCGCGGCAGCCTTGATGGACTCGTCGGAGGTGATATCGAGCTCAAGGAAGCTGAGTGTGCCGGCAGGCTTACGTGCCTGGATCTCGTTGAGAGCTGCAAGGCCCTTGATGCTGGAACGGGCACCTATGATGATGTGGTTGTCTGGCGAGTCATTGGCGAGGGCGTAGGAGGTGTCATAGCCAATGCCGGAGTTGGCGCCTGGGAAAGCTAAGAGTAAGCCAACAGAAAATTGACACTTGAGGAAAGTGATACTGACCAGTGATGAGAATGATCCTCTTGTTGAGTGCCATGATAATGTAATTGGGTGCTGATTCGGGCTGAGCAGAAATTGATGGAGAGAGCAGGTTCGAAGACTGTTGCGGTTGGAATATGCATTCTGTAACTCAAGGGATGATGCTGTCTAGTTTTATACACTTTTATAGCGAAATAGGAATCCAGTCTCGCCATACCACGTGGTTTTGCGTGACTGCGTACCTCTACGGGCTGGATGTCCGAGGTTGAGAGTCGATTATGGACTGGCGGACCATCTTCGTCCGCGTGAGATGTCGTAGGCTAGTCTACTTCTGGTAAGTTACCTGGCCGGACTGACGTCTTAACGTAGTAGTTGCTCGTAGTTCAGCTTTGTGGTGTCTTCTGCGGCAAAGTAAAAGCTTGATTATAAATACCGGGCTCGAAGATCCGCTGATCAGTTAATACCTGGGAGTATTGTATTAGTACATTACCGCTGGTTCTTATCCAAATAGCAAGATACACCGTTGCATCAGCAAACAAACAAACAAATGTCCTCTCGGAGACTATGGCTCAAGCTGTCATCGAGCCTTGAGCACAGGAACAGAGCAGCAAATTCCACGGCATAGAGACATCTCAGGAGTCATAGGCGGCAGCGATTTGGGTATGTTCGCACGGTAGTCAGCACTCTCGGCCTGGTGCCCCCCAGACATTGAAAGAATGGAAGAGGAGCGTTCTAGTGGAGCTAAGTTTGTAAGTGAAGGAACGCTTTGTCATAAGGCCGTGTTGAGACCCAGTCTCTCCTTATCCCAAACGCCGCTAAGCGGAACTCTCCCGACCGCCAGCTCGGGCTTAGGCGCTCTACCCCTAATACGTCATGTAGCTTGAGATTAAGCTCGAGAGTCGGCGAGAAGGTTTCGCCGGTTGCGAAACGGGGAAGCTTCTGGGTTCTGAAAAAGCCCGACGGCACTTGTCAGCTGAGTTACCCTGCCGCACGCAATAGGTACAATCTGGAAGAAAAGACTCGGCCCTTGTTAATTCGGCGTAATGAGACGTAAACTGAGAAAATCTCAGGGTCTTAGGTGTGGATCTTGAAAAGTTAGCTATGCTAAAAAGAGGGACACGCTACTTCGGAAGATATCCATAGCCTGGGTGAGGACTCGCCGATCTGGTTGTTCCCTGCGCACGGACGGTCTTGGGTGCGTATTGCGCGTATCAAGACGTATAACAACGTATTCGCCAAATTGTGGTGGATCCTAACGGGTCCTGGACTTTGGCGGCGTCATTGGATTGGTCCAAGGTCAAGCCGTCTTAGCCCCGTTTTGCTACTTCCTTAGCCCAAACTTAATTTTAACACTACTTATTCTAGGCCTTGGACCCACGAGGAGCGTATTCTTCGTATAGCCCTCTTACTTCTTCTTTGACACGTCTGTCTCTACCTACAGCCTGTAGTTGTTCCACGCGGCTCTGAGTTCCATGAATGAGAATACCCCACCTACTGACCAAGGTGGTAAAGTCGTCCACCGGAGGGCCCATAGAAAGTCACGTCATGGATGCACGTTCTGCAAAAAAAGGAGGATCAAGGTAACGAACGGTTAACCCGGCAGTCGAGTGGACCTGCGTTCCAAAATGATTCAAGCTAATTCTTTGGTCCAAATCTCCAGTGCGATGAGCAAACGCCGGCTTGCACCAACTGCGTCAGGCGATCGCTGGTGTGCAGCCTTGGCACAAACCAGAGCACTGCTTCCAGCCCAGCTTCGACGGCGTGTGTGGCAGCATCCGTCCGGTGCTGTGCAACCAGTCTAGATGTGGGGGATTTTGAGCTGTTTCATCATTTTTGCCATGTCACATCTAAGAGTTTCAGTAACGAGCAAGCCACCCAATACTTTTGGAGCGTTACAGTCCCGAGGCTGTCTTTTAAACACCAGTTTCTTCTCCATGCAGTCATTACTCTAGGCGCGTTGCACCTACGTCACATGAAGTACCAGGTTGAGAGCGACATGCCTGCCCGCCTGTTGGACAAGGCTAATGTGCATTGGGAAGAGGCCCTGAGGCTTGCCTCGCCGCTTCTCTCACGCGTCACTGAGTCAAACTGTGCCGCACTCTATCTCTTTGCAACAATAACTTGCTTGCATACATTTGCCCTCGGCCCATGCCCAGGAGAGCTGCTTATATTCAACCAGAATGGCCCATCGCACTGGCTGACACTTTTTCGCGGACTTCGGTCAATCGAGCAAGCATGTGACTTCGCAAGTGTCCAGAACGAGGAGCTGCACCCAATATTCCCGCTCTCTGGCTTAGAATCGAACAAAGTTCCAGTCAAAGCCCTCGATCCATCCGTCCAAGAAGCTCTAGAGGCTTTAGCATCCTTCATAGATATCAACGTCACGAAGGATGACGAGCGGTGCGAGAGCCTGGTGGAAGCTCTCACGCTTCTGCGTAGGTGCTACACAGTGGTGTATGACGAACCAGCGCAAGTCTCGGCTTACACGGTCTTCAGCTGGTTACATCGTGTATCGGATCATTACCTGAAACTGGTACAGGCCACTGACCCAGTGGCGCTGCTACTCTTTTCATACTTTGTGGTGTTGATCAAGCGATTGGAGTGTGCCTGGATGGTAAAAGATTGGCCTACACATCTCATGTCAGAAATCTACGCTTGCATGCCACTTGCGAAACGTTTCTGGCTGAGCTGGCCTATGGAGCAAGTCGGCTGGCTGCCGACTGAATGAGTACAACAACCGTGGTATAGACTATCTTGTAATTTGTTGTTTTTTTTGACAAAAGGAGAAGAGAAGTCACTTCTACATGCGTCCACGCCTCATTTGTTCATAATGTTGTCTTGATAGAAGCTGTTCCTTGCATAGGACAAACGCTACTGGTAGGATTCACCACAAGTATCGTGACCCGAAGGAAGGGTTGAACATGAAGCATGGGTGAAGAGGGTTTATCTCGCTTGAGGCTAGAAGTTGCGTGACGTCACACCATGTCTTTTTTTCCAGTCCAAGGGGAGTTTCCACTAATCAGGATCAGAATTTATGGGCCGAGATCGACGCCTTGGCACAGCGTATTCAATACGTGATAGTGAGTCCTTGACAATTTCCGCCTCGGGATGCCCGTGACCTGCTGTTATTGATCCACTGCCTGCTAGCGCGTGCGGAATCACCACCAGAGACAGTTCTTGATGATGAACAGCGTAACTTTCATGAAGCCAGATTTAAAACGCGGTCCGAGAGGAGCACAGCTCCTTACATGGTATCCACATCCCAGTCACCAGCAGATCGAACCACCTTAGCCCCACGGTCTCAACAATGGCAACGGCCGCGACCGCGACATCAACTTCCCTGATATGTATATCCGTCCCACCTAACGAGCATGGACATGTGTTTGTCGGAGCATGCGGCGCAATTTGGCCGTATCATCCCAGCTTCGACTCCAACTTGGCCATAATTATTATATTCGCTATCTCAACTCTGGCGCATGCAGTGCAGAGCCTTTTCTTTCGACAGGTGCGTACATTTTCTCAAGCGTCAAGAACTCTACGTCTTGAATGGTTAGGAAAGCTACCGACACTTACATGGACCGACGGCGCTCCAGGACCGCGTCGCGCCAGGAACGGCATCGTTCCCAGTTACGATCGACTTCACACAGGAAGCCTTAGTATATAGAACACATTCATTAGCACTTTCATAGAACCTAGCTCACCAGCTATCAATAAGACTTCTTTACCTCAATACGCCTAACCCGCCCTATTGACTATTAAGAGACGTGACATCTTTCGCTACGCTCAGATTATACCCTACAATCCTACCAACATAAACCTATAACGGTCTAGTTTATCCCTTGGAAAACCCAACCGTCACAATAAGGAAGCATATAAAGGGTAATATTCTTATTTTCCTCACAATATCTCTTAAAGTTAACTACGCGATAGCTTTTATACCTATTAAGGATCAGAAGGTAATAGGGACTAACTGTTACGATTGGTCCCGTAACAGCGTTGTAAGGCTTCTATAGGCAGCTGTAAGCACAACTGTAATTGCTCACATAGTGAGTATAGCCCGATCTTTTGCCCTGTGGCTTAACGGCTTGTGCAACCGTTACAATAAGCTACCTGGCTAGACTAGATGATAAATGTAGTAATTGCTTATAGTTCAGTTTTATAGTATATTCTGCAGTAAAGTAAACGCTTGGTTATAAATGCTGGGCTCAAAGATCCACGGGCTAGCATCTAGAAGTACTATGTTGGTGTACTATCGCAGGTTCTTATATGAATGGTAAGATACGCCTTTGCATCAGCAAACAAACCAGTATCCTCTCGGGGATTACTGTATGGTTCAAGGTGTCAGCAAGCCTTAAGCACGGGAACAGAGCCGCAAACGCCACGACAGAGACTTCTCTGGAGTCATGGGCGGCGTGATTCGGGTACGTTCGTATGACCGTCAGCACTCTCGGCCTGGTGCCCCCTAGACATTGAAAGAATGGAAGAGGAGCGTTCTAGTGGCGCTAAATTTGTATGTGACGGAGCGGTTTGTCATAAGACCTGTCAAGACTAAGTCTCTCCCTATCTCAAAAATGCAGCTAAGCGACGCTCTCCTGACGCCAGCTCGGGCTCAGGCGCTCTATCCCTGAAACGTCATGTGGCTTGAGATTAAGCTCGGGAGTCGGCGAGAAGATTGCGCCGGTTGCAAAGCAGGGGAGTAACGGATGGCTTCGACTTACGGGCTAAGTGGAGTGGAATTACGAGAGTAAAGAGGCGGAGAATAAAGACTATATCCTAATGTACGGATTGGAATATAGCATATCGTAAGTTATCCGTCTCAAAAATATATAGGATAAGGCAGCAACCACCCCTAATTCTGGACTACTTTTGCACCACTTTCACGTCCATCTACCTTTGCATTCTAACCGTGTTTCCTCACGATATCGTATAGCAATTACAATATTATTTACATCATTTAATCGTTATGCGGGATTGTATTAAGATTGACATTGAATATGCCATCCTCAACATTAAAAACTGGTTATCTCTATGCGCTTCTATATGGTATCATGGTATTCCACGCTCAACCTCAGCCAATCAGCTTAATAGCGTCTAAAGTCACCAAAATGCTCATTAGCACCCTTAAAAGCTCTCTATAAATTAGGAAGCTGACCTTGCATAATAGATCATGGTCTATAAAAGCCTAAGCTTCCGTCTGACATATGTCTAGCTTATTGACTTCACGGGCTGAATCGCTGTCTTTAACAGCTACCTTGACACCCTTGGGACTGACTGGATTGATATCTTCTTGCCCTAGGTGTCACGGGCCAGGGCCCATATTCTGCGGCCGTGCCGCAAGACGTACAGTGGGATGCAATAAGTTTGAATACCTTTTGAAGTACTTATACCCCTGTCTAGCCTGTTTGGAGTTTAGCCTGCTTCTAATCTGAGGAAGAAGCTCAATCTAGCCAATCACTATATTCTTATCAGCCGTGCAAAAGCTGATATGCACGTAGTAGCTGACTTAAAAGGGCTAGCGGGAAAAGAGGATACACGCCCGGTATTCAAACTTATTGCATCCCACTGTACTAGGCTTGCGCGCGGCGCCCCGAAAGTGACTCGGCACAGTGTTCCTTCCCATAGCTACCATATTGCGCAGTAATGCTGAGTGAGTGGAACATATATTTATTGAACTCTACAATTGATTACTGAGATGTGAATTCTTTTTAGGCAAGCGCCTCGGCGCCCCGACGTTTCTTCCCAAACTTTGAATTAAACCGAAGCAGATTATGCCTACTTGCCAGGGTAGACCTGATCATGTACTGTACAAACTTTCCCACTCCTTGATGCACTGCAAGTGAGGCGATCCTTGTTGTCGCATGTCAAGGAAAGCGGGCTTTGTTCAAACCATGACGAATCATACCTTCGGTGCGCATCTGATGACCGACTGAGTCCGGACTGAGTAGATTAGCTAGACTCGAGGCTCTAGGTCGACAAATGGGATCATGTCATTAAGTGGATACAAGCTATCTCGGCACGAGTTGCCCTCAACCAGTTCACAAATCCCGAGCGGCAGCTTTGTAGCGATCAGTAAAGGTACTCGGGAATCGTTCGGCCTATTTTGTAGAAAAATTTACCATAATTACATACCAGCGCCACACCAAACATAAATCCGTATAATGCCTTTGATAACGCTACAAGCTCAAGGTGTCGACAAACCAAGTGTCTTCGTCTAAAACCACTTCAGCTCGCCATAACGCCCAACAAAATTTTCTACAACGGACGGATCCTGACAAGGACTAGTACCGCACGCGATGGACCAGTTGAATTCGCGGACCGCATGTTGGTTCAGCACGGCAAGATTACCGCCATTAGATCCAATAGAAACATGGCAGATGGCATCAAAGATCTATAATCTATATACTATTTAAAATAATTACCTAGCTAAGAAAATAAATCTCCATTCATATACTTAAGTCCCGTATCGCAAGCAATGGTTACGACTATTTTGCCAGGGCCTAACTCTTTCGCCAGCCTTAATGCACCGATAACATTCAGGCCAGTCGAGGTTCCTACTAAAAGTCCCTCTTCCTTGGCCAATCGACGACACATTGCTCGGGCTTCTTCCTCTTCGATCGCCAAAACTTGATCGTATAAGTTTCTGTTAAGAAGTGGCGGGACACTCCCGATACCAATGCCCTCAATGTGGTGCTCCCCGGCTTGACCAGTCGAAATCGGCGACGAAGATACAGGTTCGAGAACGGCGATATGACAGTTCGAGAAGGTATTTTTTAGGGCCTGCGCAACACCCATTGCCATGCCAGCCGTTCCAACAGCGGCGCAAAAGGCGTCCACACCGTATGGAAACTGTTGTATGAGTTCTAAGCCCAAGACCTGGTATCCGACAAATGCGTCTTTATTTTCGAACTGGTTCGTCCAGTATATTTGAGAATCCTCTGCATGCTCGGCAACGCGTTGAATCATTGACGGAATGAGATCAGCGTGAATCTTACCCGAATGGCTATGTATTATGTCGACCTGAGTCCCGAGCGCGCTCATAGTTCGAAGCTTTTCGATCGCAAACGCATTCGAGGATACCACAATGCACTTGTACCCCTTGGCTGCACAGACGAGCGCGAGTGATGAACCAGTGCTGCCGCCACTTGCTTCCGCTACTGTCATTCCTGGTTTGAGGCTGCCTCTCTTCTCTGCTTCTTCGATAATTGACTTGGCCAGGCGGTCTTTGTACGAGCCGGTCGGACTAAAGTATTCAAGCTTGAGGTACACTTGCGCGCATGCTTTAGGGACGACATTGTTCAGGCGAACGCAGGGCGTGTTGCCAATGGTGTCTAGCACGTTGCTAACAGGCACTGAGACCATAGTGAATTTAAAGATAAAAAAAGTCCAAAAGAAAGGGAGGGTACAGATGGTTTGCTGAATCGGATAAACTTCTTGTAATAGATAGAAGTGTATTAGACTTGGTGAAGATTATACAAGGAGCGAAAGTAACACGTGGATTGTAACGGAGGATGGATTAAGATCTTTGACTAAGTATTCCGAGCTGCCCATAGCTACGATCGGCAAGCCTAGACGGCGGCCCGGAAAAGTTATGTAATATAGCCCGCAACAGTAGCGATTTGACTTATGTGGGGCAAGCCTGAGCAAGCTAATTAAGCAAGCTTACTTAGCCGACCTAACAATCACAGTCACTAGCATAAGCAGTTCCCGGCAAGATCAACAACTGCTAGCGCGACACTAAGGAATAATAGAACTGTTGAGTCTAAGCGGCGGTATTATCTAAATGTGCCGAGTGACAGACGCGCTTAGAACACGAGGCCGGAAAGCTGACCGAATTGGTAAACTAAGAGCTACTGCGAGATATAAAATACCGCATGAAAAAGTGCGAGCTGGAATAGTTCTATCACATAGATTCACTAATAATTATAAGTGTAACGTCAAGTCTCTCGGTTTCGGGTCCACGATAATTCATCAGAGCCATCTCCGTTCAAATCAACAACACAAAATGACTACCACGAGCTCTGGGGCATGTTTATGTGGCGCCGTTGCCTATATATACACGGGTGAGCCCGTCATGAGGGTAAAAATCTCACACCACCCCATTACGTCAGCCAATCTAACCAACCCCCCATCGGCAGGCCGTCTGCTATTGCAGCCCTTGTCGTAAAATTTCCGGCGGCACTAACACCGTCAACTTTGTTATTCCTGAAGAAGACTTTACGCTCACCAGAGGGCAACCAAGGTCCTTCTCGAAAGAGCATGAATATGGAATGACGCTTACCGTCGTTTTCTGCTCGGAGTGCGGGACTACTTTGTGGAAGGAGGCTACTGCACCACAGTTCAAGGGTGTAAAATTGGTTCAGGCGGGAACGTTATCAGATGCGAAAAAATTAGATGAAAAACTTGACGCCGAGTTATATGTGCCAGAGAGAGCCTCTTGGCTTCGTCGTCTTGACAAAGCTGCACAGAAAGAGTCATTCTAATCCATGAGTTCTAGGCCTATTCATCTGAATGAGTTAACCAGCTTACTTGTGGCAACATAAATGGAATACCGTACCTGGTATTGCTCGTACATGGGTGAACATGCTAGCCGGCTTTGGTCTGTGGCCCCGTTTTGGATTCTTGAGCCCCTGTTTAAATCTATCATCACTGATTGGTCCGAAACTGGAAACGGGGCCCGGTTCTGTCTTTAATCCATAAGTAGGATATAACTTGAGCAGATTAGCTTAGATAATTGATTTTAACCGCGGCAGTCTCGGCAGATTTCGAACGATTCACAAAGGCGCACACAAAGAACTGATGGGGAAATCATAGCTTTCTTGGTCTAGGTAGATCAATAACAAACAAATCACCTGTAATTTCGGAGAATCGCCAGCAACTAACTTAACCTTTCCCCCTATCTTATCACTTGTTCTTTGCCGTACGACACTACAACGTAGGTGTGCATTGAAGTCAGCGGACGATGGGAACCTGCTGTGTAGCGCAGTGAATTCCGCCACCTATACAAGGTAGTGCATTTATGTAGATCTGAACGACTTTGCGATCAGGAAACAGTTTCCTGAATAAACAGAGCGCCTGTGCATCTCCAGGGCTGCCGTCAGATCAATCAAATCAGATTAGGACCCAAATCTGATCTGAACTGATAAATCACCATTCGAATCTGATCTGATTTGATTGATTGATTGATATCTGATATGTCGTAGCTCACGTGAAGCTTCCCTCGGCCTCACGACCCCACCGTCGGATTCTAATCGGCCTTGTTACTCGAGCATAGACCTCCGAGAGTAATACATCCTCCCCTGACCCAGTTCTTCAGTAGCTGGATCGATTCAATGCTCGATCCAAGTAGAGAATGTCGCTGTGAGCTGACTGTAAGCTTCGCAAGACTGAATGCCCTCTCGCAGTCGGTTGACATGGCCGGAATAGCAAGAATATCCAGTGCAAACCTACTCAAACGTGGGAAAGCATTGCTATGGTCGATCCACCAACGAATGGGATCATCTACCTGTTCTGGTTCGAGCCTGTAATACCGTTCGAGTTCACTGCCTGTTGCTGAGAGCTTAGGTTGCCGGCTTTTTATCCACTGCTCAAACCTACTTTGTTCAGGTCGGGGCATCAACGAAGGCGTGATAAAGACACTCTCAGAGGCATTATCGTCATTCTTCGAGTACCAACGCTCAAAATAGACTTTGATGCCGTCCTTTGCATCTCGAAGCCATTGTAGCTGTTCTGGGGAAGTCCAATTGGTCTCCAGCCACCGGAGTCCAAGGTCCGGATTCAGAACAACAGAGGCTGCAAACAGAGGCGACCGTCCGAGGAGAGTATAGTACTCGTTTAACTTAATCTAAGCATTGTTTATACTTGCCTTAATGCTAGCGCGCTCCTGACCCTCCATACTGGCAATATTGCTCACCGAACGAGCATCGTCTTGCAGGTAGTCTTCTCGGGAATGTACAGGAAGCGCATCTTCATTAAACTGTGAGCTGGCGGGTAGGCGAGCTGGAAGAGTCGTTTCGCGACGGCGGCGCAATGGTGTAATTTCGTATCCTTGAAGTCGTGATGGTAACCGTGACTGCCGTGAGGGTCGCTCCCGGATTTGTCCGACTGTCGGTGGCCGCGAAAGTGTTGATGTCACACTCATGGCCGGTCCAGCTTCCTCCCCCCGGGTTGTATACCATTCTTCCGCAGCCGGATCAGCAGTTTCATCCTCGTAGAGAACCTTCCAGTCTTCAAGATGTTCTAGGACAAACTCCATTCCCGTCATGGCTTCCCAGAGCCGACCGTGACCCCCGCTTATACCCCATCCCTGTGTTCTCATCGTCATATTATAGACCGGCTCCAAAATATGACTAACTTTCCTGAGGACCTTCCAGTCATCAGATGTCAGAATGTCAGCTATAGGAACCCTTTTCGAGGCGTCTGCTTCTAGCCCTAACTCCTGAATGAAGCTGTTGAGCTCAGACTGCTTGACTAAGGCACGCTCAATCATCATGTAAGTCGAGTTCCATCTCGTAGCGTTATTCTGTATGACTTCAAGCTCGGCAGTTGATTCTTCTGCAAGCTTATATGTATCTACCTCCTCCTGCTCCCTTGTAAGTGCTTTTAAAGCTTCGGTGCATTGCGGAGAGGCTCGGATGGACTTGACGATATTATGAAGCTTCCCAACTAGACCCTTGGCTCGCTAGTACTCGAGATCTCCTTTAACCCGCTCTGATATATCATAGGCCTCAGACTGAAGTTCGAAAGAAGCTGCATCGTCGCCGTAGAGGAAGGCTTGGGCAACGAGGTTTAGAATATGACCGAAACATCGCATCCTTCGTGCCTCCGTGTCCGCTCGAGTTATCGAGGCATCGAGAGTTGTGTAGAGGTTCCGTAAGCAAACATCATTACTGGCCGCATTATCGCAGATCAAAACCCCTAGCTTATAATCGATTCCCTAATCACGGACGACGCTTCTTATGGTGTAAGCGATATTCTCACCGGCATGAGATCCGATCTGCCTCTTGAAAGCCAGCAGCCGGCTTTGATAAGAGTGTCTCCGATCGATAAAGTGACCAAAGATGGAAATAAAAGCTAACCTGTTCGGAGATGTCTAGAGGTCGAAGCTAAGATGTATCTGGGTAACAGCATTATCGAGTTCCTCCTTGACAGCCGCTTTCTTTGAAACGAGTATGTCCTTTAGATCTTTTTTGGTTGCAGTTCGACCCTAGGGCACCTGAGCATAAAGATCAGAGTCCAGCTGACGGAACAGCTCCTGCAGATAGGTACTCTCAAAGGTAGTAAAGGGGAGATTAGAATCAATGATATAACCAACAGAGAGCTCTCTAATCCGTGCCATCTTCGCTCTAGGAAGAAGGAGGGAAGAAGCCGGCCGTTTCTTGGATCCATTTCTCTGGAGGCCGAGAACTGAAGGGTCACCAGATGAACCCGCTTCAAAGGTCTCGGTGATCCTGTGAGCTCTAAAAGCCGTTAGTGATAACCTGGAAATGGCAAGTACCACGAACTTGAAAAGATGAGCTGATGCCGATGATGTCGACTGGGCATTGAAAAATCGAGGCGCACCCTTATTATCGCAGAGCCGGCAACACCAGATATCTCCACTGGATGTATTGTCTTTCCTCAACTCTGCAAGGAACCAGCCATGGTTTCCGATCCAGCTTCGCCTGCCCCTACTTTTCCTCTTATCTAAGAGGCTTGCAATAACAAAACGTCGTTGGCCCCAAATAATCTTGTAAAGGTCATCAATGGACGAATTGGCAGTCGAGGCCAAAGTTAAAGCGGCATCATACTGCTTAGCGATGGCCTTAGACCGGGATCCGAGACGAGGAAATGCGGGTGGTGGCGGCGATGACGACGGGCTACTAGCAAGGCTGCCTTTTATAGCGGTCTCCGACATTGTATGTTGCAATCAGCAGGGGCTTCAACAGATTGAAACCCATCAGCCAAGATATGCTTCCAAACATTGAAGGATATGTTGGCTTCTCTGGCTAGGGCTGTGTTGTACTGGGGCAAGAGGTAGGAAAAAGGGGCAACTTAGCCAATTAATCTGCCTGTAGATTGCTCTCCAACCGAGCCCTGAGCGGGCTGGGGTTCAAAACCAGCCAATCGGCTTGACTCCGCCCTGTAGCATCACTGCTTGTTAGGGAAGTGCCCCACTCTGAGGACCGGAAAATATGGATGATCCGACAGTTCTAGGGTAGTCATCTTCCTTTCTAAGGATATCAGATATATCAGATGCACAGATGCTTGTGTCTGAATTGATTGATATATCTGATTGTTAATCTGATCTGACGGCAGCCCTGGAAAAGACCATGCAGAGACAGACCTTCGTGTCCTGCGACGTCTCGTTCGGGAGAACCCTCTCGGGCTTCTTACTACCGTCATCTCATCGCCTTCAGGATCTTATCCCCTTGCCCAAGCCAGCCATATTCCGTGGGTCCTGGATATTCAAGATGAAGAGAGTGAGACCGAGTTTGGAACTCTGAGAGGTCACCTTGCTAGACAAAACCCCCAAAGCAAGGCCATTATCGAAGAAGCTACCACCAAGAACACACAAGTCCTTCAGAACGATGTACTTGTCATCTTCCAGTCCCCGGTTCATCATTATATCCCTCCCCAGTTTCTGGTCGAGACGAAGCCTACCACCACAAAGGTCGTCCCCACTTGGAATTATGCTGCTGTTCAGGTCTACGGCAAGGCCAAAGTCTATGTGGATTCCAAGTCAGCCGAGACGTCCGAGTACCTGACCTCACAAATCAATGCTCTCACTCGCCACGCGGAAGTTAACCTCATGGGGTTCGATGGTAAGGACGGCAACCACGAACCTTGGAAGGTATCGGACGCGCCAGAAAGATATATCGAGCTCATGAAAAAGGCCATTATCGGCATTGAAATTGAGATTGAGCGCTTTGAGGGCAAGTTCAAGATGAGTCAAGAAGAGACTCGGGGTGACAGCGATGGAGTGATTGCAGGATTCCGAGAACTCGGAACTGAGACCGGACAGAGGGTAGCTGATCTTGTCGAAGAGCGGCGGGAGATCAAGGAGAAGTCGAAGGCATCTCAGGTACAGAAGAGCACCCTCTAAGCGGTTAGAGGGTTGCAGGCTAGTTACTATCTTAAATATACGTCACTGCTATTTGTTTATCCCTCCCGAGCGTAGTTCATAATGGTTTGACGAGATTATCTACCAGACCTCATTGGCTGCTAAGTCGTCGCTTTGGCCCGCTCTATTTAGCCTACATCGCACAACTGGTATATCGACGTAACTAGGTCGCAACAAAGTCAAATTAAATGGTAAAAATACAAGGAAAATCGCATTTGGCGCTCTTTAGTCGCTTTCTTCCTCTGCACTTGAATCTCGCTCCATATAGCATTTTGTTGGTCGCCGATTGCGTGCCGACCGTCGAGCCAGTGCCGGCTCCTCTTCCGACTCAGAGCTACTCTCCCCCTCCACGATAATGACCTCTTGTACCGCGTTTCTTGC